ACTTATCAGAGTACAAGTAAAATATTACTAATTATTTATATATAAAAAATAGCTAGCGCCTATCTGGTTCTTTAAGGCTCATATGTTATATATATGTTATATGTTATATATTATATAGCATATACCGGTAATACACGGGACCACTATTGATTTCATATCAAATTCATCGCTTTGTTAGAAATTCAAAGTATTATTATTTTCAGACTCAACCACATGTCCGCCACAACCCCGACACTCGCCTATTGGGATATCAGAGGTTTCGGACAACCCATACGTTATCTCCTAAAGTATGCCGGAGTAGACTTCAATGATAAACGATATGTGTATAGCAATGAGAAGGAATGGCAGTCAGATAAGCCTAACTTAGGCCTGGATTTCCCAAACCTTCCCTATTATATCGATGGAGACATCAAACTGACACAAACTCTGGCGATATTGAGATATTTGGGTCGAAAGCACCGATTGGTAGCCACCGATGACCAGACACTCGCCCGACAAGACATGGCTGAGCAACAGATCCTAGACGTGATGAATGGCTTATACCATATCATAATGAATCCTGATTATGAGACAAAAAAGGCTGACTATTTCACGGGTACTCTGGAACCACAGTTGGATTTGTTGGTGAAGTTTATGGGGGATAAGGAATGGCTGAGCGGACAGTTGTCTTACGTGGACTTCATGGCCTACGAGATACTGGACTGGTTTAGACTGTTCTCATCGGACACTATCGCCAAATACCCGGCGATCACCCTAAGTTTATGGGGGATAAGGAATGGCTGAGCGGACAGTTGTCTTACGTGGACTTCATGGCCTACGAGATACTGGACTGGTTTAGACTGTTCTCATCGGACACTATCGCCAAATACCCGGCGATCACCCGATATATGGCTCGTTTCGAAGCACTTCCAGCCATCAAATCCTACCGGAGTTCCCCTCAATACAAATCGTGGCCATTGTTTAGCCCATGGGCTCAATGGGGCGCCAAATAATTATATAGTAATTAAAAATACAAAAATTGATAATTATTTGATAATTACTTTGAATTAAATAAACGTTAATTTGTTGAAAACATTTATGACTTAATAATAGAATTTTGAATGTTATACTTTAGAAAATTCATTAGTTAAATTTGATAACACAAAATTAGTGTAGAAAACAAAGTTTAGTAAACCGGATTTCTAATGATTTCATAACAACAGTGAGTTTTCATTCATTTCATGTTGTTTGCAAAGTTTTTGCAAATTATTATTATAACAAAGTTTTGTTATAATTTCATCAGAAATTTCGGTAATATAACTATACGATCATTAATGCGAACTCACCATGAGTCTAAATCAATTATATTCCGGATATATTTTTGGTATTTTACTAGTCCACAAAAATTAATATCTATAATTTAAAAAATCAAAATAACTCGATGCTAAATGTAATAATTTTAATGTTGGCCATGAGCTTACGAAATTGTTTATTAAAAATTCTAATATATTAAAAGTAATATAAATATTTCTTTTTTTGTTAAACTTATATATTCTGGTAAATAGAAGCAGTAGATGTACTGGATTACAAAATAAGATTTAAAAATTACAATCAGTACAAAAAATAATGCAAATTCACGGTTAATATGAAATCAATTTATAAGTTATTCCGGATATATTATTGGTTTTAATGACTGTACTTAACCTGTTTATGTAGTAAATGTAATATTTCATAAACAGGTAATATTCGAGAAAACTATTGATTTCATATAAAATTCATCGCTTTATTAGAAATTCAAAGTATCATTATTTTCAGACTCAACGACATGTCGGCCACAAACACAACCTCGACACTCGCCTATTGGGATATAATAGGTTTCGCACAACCCATACGTTATCTCCTAAAGTATGCCGGAATCGACTTCAATGATAAACGCTATGTGTTTAGCAATGAGAAGGAATGGCAATCAGTTAAGTCTACTTTAGGTCTGGATTTCCCAAACCTTCCCTATTATATCGATGGAGACATTAAACTGACCCAAAGTCTGGCGATATTGAGATATTTGGGTCGAAAGCACCGATTGGTGGCCACCGATGACCAGACACTCGTCCGACAAGACATGGCTGAGCAACAGATCCAAGACATGAGGGATGGCTTATTCAATATCATAATGAATCCGGATTATGAGACAAGAGAGGCTGACTATTGCACGGGTACTCTGGAACCACAGTTAGATTTGTTGGTAAAGTTTATGGGGGATAAGGAATGGCTGAGCGGACAGTTGTCTTACGTAGACTTCATGGCCTACGAGATACTGGACTGGTTTAGACTGTTCTCATCGGATACTATCGCCAAATATCCGGTGATCACCCGATATATGGCTCGTTTTGAAGTAGAATGCAAAGTTGGGCAACCGAACCCGGTGGGCACCTGGGCCCGCCCGACCCGTACGGGTTTTGGGCGGGTTTGGGCTAGGGCTGCCAAACGTCCTCCTTTTGGAGGATTGTCCTACAATCGGGCCCTCAAAAAACAGTCCTCCCGAGGGTCTCAGGAGGACAATGTAATGTCCTCCCAGAAGTAATTGTCAAAATAATGCAAATATTCATTTAATTTCCAATTCCTTTCCGAAATTCATGAAACTAACTGCGAGTTTGTAATAATTCTTTAAACAATTTATGAAATAATTGTTAAGAGGACAACAAGTAGTGTATTGTATTGGAATTGTATGTAGGCTTTTATAATGTAGCTATTAATATATGTTAAAAATATATAACAATATTAA